GCATTCCCCTGGAGGAAGTGTCTGGAGAGAGGGAAGTCTGCGCATCTTTGCTTAGAATGCTGCCCCTGCGACCTGCTTCCGGATAAGCGGAGGAAAATGGATGGATGGAACTTCATCTTGACAAGTGATTTCCTAACATTTACATAATGGTTGTGGATGTCATCACACATTTATTTATGTTCTTTCCCTGTTTTCTTGAGCTCTAGTTCAAATTTAGTTAAACTTTGACCTGCACTTGAATGGAAATATGGGTGTACTGTGTATAGAAAGGCTTTAATAGACAACAATTTTGTTTTAAAAAAAAAAAGCATATTTTAGGGGGAAATGTAACTCAGAACAGGATTACAAATTGGTGTAAGGATGACTGAACTGTAGTATTTACAAGGACAAGTAACCTCCAACCTGAGCTAGTTGTAATACTCTTAACATGTGATTGAGAGTGCAGAAAATGTAGCTAGCAAGTAAGTGAGCAGTGAAGTCAAAATAATTAAAAGTAATGGATAAATAGATGAAATAGCTAAAGGTTAAACAATTACAAGAGTTAACTGAAAAATATGGATATATTTTGTCAAAGTTAGCTAAAAAGAATCAATCAAAACTGAAACAGAATAATGAAAAACTAGAGTAATGACTGAGCTTCAGCAAAAGTAATGGATAAATGGTTGAAATAACACTGACTAACGGTTAATGGATAGACAGTGGACATCGGTCAAAATAATGTATACGTTTTTGAAATAGTTAGCTGAAAGTGACAGATGTACAGTGAAACCAGCTAAACATAACAGATAAATGACTGAAATAGATAGCTGGATATGATAAACAATGAGTTAGTTGGCCAAACACTTGAAATAGCTAGAAAATTCCTGAAACATCCAGTCTCTGCTTCTCTGTGTCATAGTAGTATGAAACTTGACCAAACCAATCTAAACACTGGCAGCTCCCCTATATCCATTATAGTATCCATTTTTATATTATAAACTGATAAGATGTCATCCATTAAGAAGAACACTATGTTCTCAATGAAGGGGGACAGTTCTGAAACCACAAAGTAACACTTTTCTGTTGTATTTCCTGGTTTGTTGCATTTGTAACAATGGCTGGGAGCAAGCTTTTATTAGAATTCTATACTAAAGCGAATGTCAAAAAATACCTCCTGGATTTCTGATGAGGGTGGGACCTCATTGCTGTGTCTGGAGAGAACTAGACTTGTCACTTTGAAAGTTGCAAGACTGAATTCAGAGGCACAGCATTCAGTGTGATCCTTATTTTTAGCTCAATGCATATATCAGCACTGTACTGCGCAAACACTGACACCCTCTTATGCTCTCATTCACAAGAATCTCTTCATTGTGTGTGTGAGGCAGAGGGAGAAAGTGTGTGAGCACACAGGGAGGCAGGTCTTGGCTAAAGTTTATTAACTTTCTCTTAGCCAATGGGACGCTTTGTGCGTTTTTTCTGCTGACCAATGGGACAGATTGAGAGGTTGGAGGTGGGTGTTGCTTAGCAACTGCAGGTAGAATCTCACATCATGTCGGACCCATTGTTTTATCTTGCCTCCCTGAGAGACATTACATGCTATGTGTTGTGATTTGTTAGTAAAAAACACCTCTGTGCAAATGCGTCACAAAGTTGTTAACTCTATTTCTGTATTGTTAAACAAAGATCACAGTGACTTTATTGGCATTTCGCCCTCAAGACAGAGCACTTTTAATTGATTATGTTACTACATGTGGCTGTCTTATCTCCAAGTCACATGCACACATACAAGAGAATTTTGATTTTATTGTTGTGTATTTTGCCCCTGATTACAGGGATAATAAGCTTTACTGAACCTCCTGCAGAGACTGAGATGAGTGGTTCTGAACATAGACAACAGCCGAGGCTGCTAAGACCAGAGGTTTTGCATGGAGATTAAATATCAGTGTTTGCTTCCGAAGCATTTTCACCATTTGACCTGCCACACCCTCGTCACACTAACACACACACACAACAAAGCACTGATGCGATTAATTGTGATGCTTTAATTATAATTCTGATTCAGGAAACCTTGAGTGTTGGCCTGAATGAAATTAAGAGCATGTTTTGGTGAATCCCGTGATTGAAAAGAGCAGGAAGATGACCAGGAAGGGGACACAGTCTACCTCATTCAAATACAGGCATATGATACCTTCTGCAATGTTTCTGACTCCCACAAGATAGCACGTCACTGCTGTGAACTTTTCATCCCCTGTCTAATTAGATGACCTGATATCTTAAAGCAGTATGTCACAGTGGAGTAACTTGTGGAGCACTACTCACCGGTACTGTCTGTTCTTTTACCACTACTAATATCACTTGCTGGCTTTTGTCTTATCTCTGTTATCCTAAGAATTTCACTGTAAAA